AATTCATTTAATTTGATTTGATTTAATTCATCTAATTTGATTTAATTCATTTAATTTAATCCGTTTAATTTGATTCAATTCATTTGATTTGATTTAATTCATTTAATTTGATTTATTCATTTAGTGTGATTTAATTAGTCGGATTTGATTTGATTAATTAAATGCATTTTGTTTGTTTGAATTAAAAGGCATGCTAGAGAGAATTCGAGGGATTAAACAGAATTATAATTGTTATTTAAATTCAATAAATAAATAAATAAATAAATTAATAAATAAAAATAACTTTCAATTAATTTAACAAACAACAGCTTTATTAACAGCTACTGCTGCTGCTGCTGGTCCTGCTGCTGCTGCTGCTGCTTGTGGTGCTGCAGCGCAGCAGCAGCAGCAGCAGCAGCAGCAGCAGCAGCAGCAACGCACCAGTGCCTTCTCGCCCTTCGTCAGCAGCCTGAAAAAAGAGGCAAAGTCAATTTAAAAATAAATAAAGCATTTTAACTAATAATTTAAAGTTGCTTATTTTAGATCATTACTATTATTTATTTACTAATAATAAGTCATACAATAATAATTGAAGTCAACAAATCAGCAAGTAATAAATCAAATAATTAAGTCAATTAAATAATGAAAAATAAATATAAATGAATAATTAAATAAACCAGTTAATTTAATTGCAAACAAACCTATTAAAATAAATTCAATTCAGATTCAAAAAGAAATAAAAGTTTATTTGGACTTTCATCTCGACAAGAGAAATTAATTAATTAAATTACAATTCGACAAATTATATTTTTAAAAGAAATAATAAAACATTTAATTTCTCGCATCAACAAAAACAGATGGATTAATTGAATTATAAATCGACAATTAAAATAATTTAACATGGAGAAATAAATTAATTTAACATCTCCCAGAAACAGAAGAAAGTGAATTATTAATATTAATAAACCAAATTAAATTCAATTTAAAATAAATAAATTTGATATTTCGTATCAACAGAAACAAATGAATTAATTGAGTAATAATAAACCGGCAAATTAAAAACAAATAATAAATTAAACAAATCAAATCAATTAAACAAGTTAAACAAATTAAATAAACTTGAATAAACCAAGTAAATTAAACAATTTAAACAAAGTAGATTAACCAAATTAAATAATTAAACAAATTAAGCAAATTAAACAAATAAAATAAATAATTAAATATATATATAAATAAATGAATTAAATGTCTTGCCTCAACAGAAAGCTGCAGAAGTCTAGGGGCCCAAATCATTTCTCCAAAAGTGAAAATTAAAATGCAGAAAAAAGATCCAAAAAAAGAAGGACTCATTCCCTGCACGCTCAGGTGTACGTACACCCCAGCTGCAGGCGCTGCATGCGGCGCCCTCGGGTGTACGTACACCTCAGCTGCAGCAGTTCAGGGCTCGTTTGGCTCCCGAGGAGTTCTTCTAATTGTTATTTTTAATGTTATTACTATTACTATTATTATTATTATTATTATTATTATTATTATTATTATTATTATTATTATTATTATTATTATTATTATTATTATTATTGTTATTGTTATTGTCATTATCATTATTGTTATTATTGTTATTGTTATTGATATTATTATTATTATTATTATTATTATTATTATTATTATTGTTATTATTATTATTATTATATTATTATTATTATTGTTGTTGTTCTTGTTCTTGTTCTTGTTCTTGTTGTTATTATTATCATTTTTATTATCATTATATTATTATTTTTATATTGATGATGATTATTATTATTATTATCATCATCATCATTTTTATTAATATTATGATTATTATTATTATGATTATTACTATTATTATTATTATATTATTGTTATTATTATTATTAATTAGAATTATTATTGTGGGTTACTTACCAAAACAAATAAAGAAAGGGAAGAGATGGAAGTTCCCTAAAAACAAAAATAAAAATGCAAAAGAATTTAACTAAAAGGCAAGTCCTAAATAACAAAAACTAAATGAAGTAAATAAATAAATAAATAAAATAATAAATAAATAAATAAAATAAATAACAGATAGTAAAAGAAATGGGACAAACAGTTAGTGAAATAAATACAAATAACAGAAATGAAATTATAAATAAATAAATAAATAAATGAGAGAAAATGAAAAGTAAATAAAGGAAATAACTGATAAGAGGGATAGGAACACCTAAAGAATAAAAAATAATAAAAATAAATTTAAATTATTTTAACGATAAATAAAAATTAAAACATTTTTAAACGAGAAGAAAATAGCTGCAGCAGCGAGGCTCCAGAAAGCAGCAGCAGCAGCAGCAGCGATTCAGTAGCAGCAGCAGCTGCAGCAGCAATTCAAAAGCACTGCAGGTGCAGCAGCAGCAGCAGCAGCAGCAGCAGCAGCAGCAAACCACTTCAAGCAGCACCAAAGGAGACCCGAACTAGTGACAATTAAGAAAGCAAGGAAATGCAACTGACACTAATGGCATTTAAAAAGTAGATAAAAATAAATAAAAGATACTGAAATTAAACAAATAAACAAAATATATGAAATTAGATAATAAAATAAATAATGTAAATAAATAAATGAATAAATAAATAAATGAATAAAGAAATGAATGAATAAAGAAATAATAAACAAAAGAAGGAATTAAAACGAAGGAGAAAAATGAAATTAAATTGCACTCAAATAAAGGGCTAAAGAATTAAATAAAATTAATTATTTGTTTTGATAAAAATGGTTTTAGCATTAAAAGATTATCAAATAAACAAAAAGAATTAAACAGTTGAACAAAATGCATTATGTAAACAAAGGAATTAAATAAACAAAAGGAATTAAATAATTAAATGAGAATTAAATAAATGAAAAGAATTAAATAATTAAAAGAACAACTGGAGGCGATGATTTTAAAAGATGAAAGAATGAAACGAAGTGGAAGTAAAAGACAATGAAATAAATAAACGATTTAAAACAAATAAAACGAAATAAATAAATAAATAAATAAATCAATGAATAAATGGATAAATGAACTTACCACAATGAGAGAATTAAAAGAAGTCATGTACTTGGAAGCAAAAGAAAAAAAAGGAAGAAAAGAAGAAATCAAAAAAGGATTTATCGACAGCAGCAACTCGTAAGGAGACTCCGAAGAAATTGCTGCGGCAAATTCCCAAATTGAATTAAATCCAACTTAATTGTTTTCATTATTTGTTCATTTAATGCATTGTTTGGTTTTATTTAATTCAATTAGTTGTTTGTTTGATTTAATGCAATTGGTCTGATTTAATTTCATTCATTTAATTTTGTTTTGTTTAAACTGCAGTTCAACTTGCCGCTTCGTCTTAAGTAAATTTGATTTCAATTTGAAGTCAAATTAAATTTGAATTTATTTCAAGTTAACTCGGAGCACTTTTTAAGTTAATTTGAAAGCAGTTTTAAACTAATTTCCGTTAACTTGAAGTTAATTTAAAATTAATTTGAATGAATGAATTTTAAATTTATCTGAAATTGATTTGAAATTGATTCAAAATTAGTTTGAAATTAATTTTAAATTAATTTTAAATTAATTTTAAATTAATTTTAAATTAATTTTAAATTAATTTTAAATTAATTTGAAATTGATTTAAAATTGATTTGAAATTAATTTGAAGTTAATTTAAAATTAATTTAAAATTAACTTCAAATTAATTTAGAGTTAATTTAAATTTTAAATTAACTTCAAATTAATTTGAAATTAATTTCAAATCCATTTAACATTTATTTATTTCCAATCTGTAAATTTCGCTTTCGCAGATTGAAGTTGAGAAGACAAAATGCATTTTCTAATTTTCCTAACTACTATTTTATTAGATTTAAAATGTATTTGAAATAGTTAAAAATAGATTCAAAATGATTTAAAATGATTTAAAATCATTTAAAATGATTTAAAATCATTTAAAATATATTTAAAGTTGTTTAAAATGATTAAGATGGACTTAAAATGATTGGAATGGATTTGAACCGACTAAAATGAATTTAAATTGTTTGAAACTAAATTTAAAATGTTTAAAGTCAGATTTAAATGATTTGAATGGATTTAAACGATTAAATTACATTTATAAATGATTTAAATCAGATTTAAATCAGATTTAAACGGTTAAAATGATTCTAAGCACATATAAAACGATTTAAAACGATTTAAATGGATTTAAAATTATTTAAATTAATTTAAAATGATTTAAATTAATTTAAAATGATTTAAATTAATTTAAAATGATTTACAATGATTTAAAATGATTTAAATGAATTTAAAGTTATTAAAAGCCTCACAGCGAGTGAAGACTTTGGGGAAAGTGCTGCCGAAATGTCTGCGGGAAATAAAAACGCGAAATTCGGCGGAGACCAAAAAGGGGCTCACCGGAGGACACTTCCGACTCCTGAAAAGTGGAAGATGAATTTAAATGAATTTAAAACAGTTTAAAACAATATAAAACAATTTAAAACAATATAAAACAATTTAAAACAATTTAAAACACTTTAAACGCAATTCAGAACAATTCAGAACCAAAAATGGAGTTAAAAGAGCCCAAAAAGCACCAAAAAGGAGTTTAAATGAATTAAAATGAATTAAATGAATTAAATGAATTCAATGAATTCAAATTAATTCAAATTAATTCAAAAACACCTTTTTGGCCCACCGCAACACACCGCCGTCGACACCGCCAGAAACCGCCACAGCCGACGAGAGGCCAGAGTCTCCCGCAGGATCTGTTGCAGCAAAATAAATAAATAAATAAATAAATAAATAATAAATAAATAAATAAATAAATAATAAATAAATAATAATAAATGAATTTGATGGTCTTCGAATAATTAAAATCGAAGACGGAGAAGAGCAGCGGCGGAGGCGGAAGCAGTCGGGTGTACGTACACTTGAAGTTCCACTTGGAGTTTGCCGGATAAAACAAAATTCCGAAAACGGAGTTTTATAATTTGTTTATTTTCCATTTATTTGTTTTCATTTTAAAACAAATAAGAAGCAACTTTGGACTAAAAGGAAGAAGTAGATTGGAAAATAAAGATTCAGTCGGTTTACTATTCCTTCAATTTTTCCAGAACTCACGTTTAACGGCGAGCTTGGGAGCTCCATTTGCTGCTGCTGCTGCTCCGCAGCAGCAGCAGCAGCAGCAGCAGCAGCAGCAGCAGCAGCAGCAGGAGAGTCTCTGAGGAAGAAAGAAAAGGCGAACTGCAGCAGCCCCGGGAGACAGGCGAAAAAGAGGTAAGGGCGGTAGGGCTGGCCGAGGGGGGGGACCATCGCGCGAGTGGCGGTGAGGAGAAGGGCGGCGCTGAGGGCTGCGGAGTTGGTGACGAGGTATCTGGAGAAAAGCAGGAAAAGAAGTTGAATAATAAATTCCAAAAAAAGGCCAAGTGCAGCAACTGGGGGGTCAAACGAAGGAGAAAAATGCAAAGAACAGCTCCGAGCAAGTCCCAGTCCCGCCCCGCGCCTCCGCGGGGACTTGCGAAGTTTTGCAAAAGTGGAAAAAGACAAAGACCCACGAGCAGTCGAAGGCGCAGGACCGAGTCCCCGCAGAGGCGTAGCGACGCACGGCCAACTTCAACACGTTGCTGGTGAGCGAAACGCCCATGGGCAGCAGCGCCAGCAAAGCGGCGAAGAGGGTGAGGGAGTCCGTGGCGAAGACCAGCAGCAGCCGCGCAGCAAAAGAAGTTGCTGTTCCCAGCAGCAGGGAACGGCGAACGCCCAACAAGTCCACCAAAGGTCCGAAAAAAACGCCGAAAAACAAACACATGAGTCCGTAGACTCCGTAGATCCAGCTGGCGGCGACGTCGCTCAGGCCGAAACCCACGCTCAAGTACAACACGAACACGTAGTCCAGCGCGAAGCTGCTGAAGGAATCGGCATATTCGCAGGCGTAAATCAAACAAAGTTCTCTCGGAGAACTCAACAGCTTCTTAAACGGCTCCCACATCTTTTCATTTCGCAAATATCTGCAGCTTTCCGTTCCGCGCCTCGCGCCTCGCGCCTGCATGCGCGCGGTGTATGGACACCGCAGACACACATCGACCGCCCGTGCAACTTCAGCGGTTCCGCGGGAAACCACTTTTATTTCTTCCATTCTCGACGGAATCACTTGTGGTTTCTGTTTACTTTTGCATTTAACTTCTGTTTTGTCTTTTTCTCCGCGTTTTCCCGCGCACATCGCACCAGCCGGCTCGCTGGCTTCCGCCGCCACCACTACTCCGTGTCCTCCTTCGCTCTGCCGTTTTCGGATTTTCGCCGCTCGAAGTGGAACTTTCCCCTTTTTTTCCGAATTATTTCTCCATTATTTCTTTTTTTAACGCCAATTTGTCCTTTATTTCCCGAGTTCGCCCCGCGTTTCCGCCCCGCAACCCTGCACCACCGCAGACGGCTTTCGGCAGCGGCCGAGAACGCGAAGCCCGGGCGATCTCCGCCCTTTCCCAAATGGCTTCTCCTTCTCTTTTTAATTCTTTCGAGACTTCTGCTGCTGCTGCTACTGCTGCTACTGCTGCTTCTGCTGCTGCTGCTGCTGCCAACTCGCCGCAAAAGGAATTCAATTCAAATAACCCTCCCCTCGATCTCGACGCACAAGACCCGCAGGGAACTGCAGAGCTGCTGCCGCCGCCGCCTGCAGACCTCTCTGCCGCAGCAGCAGCGGCAGCAGCAGCGGCTGCTGCTGCTGCTGCTGCTACTGCAGCGGACGCAGAGCCGAGCAGCAGCAGCAGCAGCAGCGGAGGACAGCAAACAAGTGAAAACAATGGAGGTGAGAGTTTTAAACTTGAAGAAAAAATTTAATTTGAAATTCGAGATACAGGTAGAGGGAGCTGTACATACACCGGAACGCACACTACACCCGAGACAGCCAAATGCGGAAATGCTGTCATTAAAAGATTATAAATAAGTATATAAATGAATATATAAATAAATGTATGAATAAATATTAATATTTACTTGTAATTACATTCTTATTATTACTATTAAGATATAATATTTATAAATTTGTTTTCACTTTTATTTGCAACAGAGAGCAGCCGCTCTGCCGCCACGCCGCGAGGTGTATGTACACCCGAGGGCATGCAACTTCCGCCAGCTTCTTGCAGCAGCAGCGACGCAGACAGAGAAGCAAATGAAAGAGACAGCAGCAGCAGCAGCAGCAGCAGCAGCAGCAGCAGCAAAGAAGCTTCGGGCCTCGAGAAAGAGACTTCTTTGGATTTCAATTTTTCTAAAAAAGATTCCCCGGGGCCCCTCAGGTGTCCCTCTCGGGTGTCTCAGCTGAAGTTGTTTTTCGAGAGACAAATAGATAAGGCCCACACGCACCAGCAGCAACAGCAGCAGCTGCTGCTGCTGCAGCAGGAACACAGGCAGCAGCAGCAGCAGCAGCACCCGCGGCATGAACACCGTCCTCAGCCGCAGCAAGAACAGCAGCAGCACCCGCAGCAGCAGCAGCAGGAGCCTGACTTGCTGCAGCAGGAGCAGCAGCGGCAGGAGCAGCAGCAGCACGTTTCGGCTTCGCCTGTCGACAGCAGCAGCAGCAGCAGCAGCGGCAGAGCAGCGGCGCGGAAGCTGACAGCAGCAAAACGCATGCAGCAAAGCAGCATCGACATCGCAGCTCGTTATGGAAAGCCGTACAGGCCCTCGTGTCGAGACACTGCAGCACAGCAGCAGGAGCCGCACAGCCCCGCGGCTGCTGCTGCCGACAGCAGCAGCAGCAGCAGCAGCAGCAGCAGCAGCGAAGATTCGGGGAAGCGGGCAGCAGAAGTGTTTCAGCCGGGGCGGCGCAGCAGCAGCAGCGGGTTCGAGAAGCGAGGTGTACATACACCTGAAGCTGCGCCGGAGCTGCTGAGGCCCCACAGCAGAGCAGCAGAAAGCAACAGAAGCAGCAGCGACGGGGACGCCGCTGCTGCCCCCCCAGCAGCAGCAGCAGCAGCAGCAGCAGCAGCAGGGAAGGGCCCGGTGTGCATGCACGCGTCGCGGGAAATAGAGCGGCTTGCTGCGCTGGTAGCAGCAGAAGCGAAGAACTACGGAAAGCCAATTCCCAAAAGACTCCTCACCAAACAGCACCTCCAGCCAGACGCCTGAAGCCCCAGGTGTACGTACACCTGGGAGGTGTACGTACACCTGGGAGGTGTACGTACACCTGAGAGGTGTACGTACACCTGAGAGGTGTACGTACACCTGAGAGGTGTACGTACACCTGAGAGGTGTATGGGCACCTGAGGGGTGTATGGACACCTGAGGGGTGTACGTACACCTGGGAGGTGTATGGACAGCTGGGAGGTGAATGGACAGCTGAGATGTATTTATACCTGTGGGGTGTATGTACAGCTGGGAGGTGTATGGCAGCTAAGGTTTATTTACACCTGTGGGGTGTATGGACTTCTGTGGGGTGTATGTACACCTTAGAGGTGTATGTACACCTGACGGGTGTATGTACACTTGTGGAGTGTATGTACACCTTTGAGGTGTATGTACACGTGCGGGGTGTATGTACACCTGTGGGGTGTACGTACACCTCAGAGCTCTGCGGCGCAGCGGCGCGAAGAGGCAGCTTTGGTGTCAGTCATTTTTCATTTGTTTGTAATTTGTTTATTTGTTTGTTTTCGGCTTTACTTCAACCAATTCACCCGAAGTTTTAATTCCATTTCCCGCGGCTACGGACACCCCCGCGGTCTGCTGCTGCTGCTGCTGCTGCTGCTGCTGCTGTTCGCGAAACAGCACTTCGAATTGTCGAAAATTTGCAAAAGTGAAAAACTGATTTTATTTCATCTCCGGAGGAACTGCGGCCGGACCCAGCGGCTGCTGCTGGGGTGTACGTACAGACAGACCACTGGTCACCCCCGCCACCAATGAACCGCCAGCAGCACCAGTGGTCACTTTTTGATCTTTTAATTCATTTAAAAGGCTAAATTGAATTACACTTGAATTTTAAATTCAAAAAAAGAGAAAAAAGAAAAGAATTGATGCGGGTTTCGGGCCCTCTGGCCTCCGCCACCGCAGAGCCTCCCTGCTGTCTGTTGCATTTCATTTGCCAGTTCTCTTAGCTTTTCGCATTTTTCTTTTTTTCTTGAAGATATTTCGCATTATTTTTGCAAATAAAAACAAATTGGAGAAAAGTGTTTTCAAAAATGAAACAAAAGTGAAACTGCACTTCCGCGCGGCGACTCGAGTGGTGTACGTACACCGGGGCCAGGTGTACGTACACCACGGCCAGGTGTACGTACACCCCTCAGTTGAAGTTCGAAAGTAATAAATGCATTTATATAAAAGATTTGTTGACAAGAATACAAAGAGGACTCTCTTTGTTCCAATTTGTGGATTAATTGGCTTAATTGTCTTTAAATTATCTTTAAATTACTCAAATCTGTCTTGAAGACAATTAACTCCTCAAGCCATTTGCATGCATCCAACATCTTTAAAAGGAAAACAAATTAAATATAAAGAGAAAGGGAATTTAGACTTCCAGAGGCGGAGAATTTGCAAATGAGAAGATGCAAATAAGTGCAAAATAAATACAAATTTAAATAAACATAACTTCAAATAAATGCAAATTTAAATAAATACGAATTTAAATATGAACAAATTCGAACAAATGCAATAATGTGCCTGTACATACACCCTAGCACACACATATAATTATCTAAAAACGCACAAATCTGCACTTGAATGTCCCATACCATATCCATTATTATTATTATTATTAATTATATTATTATACTTATAAATATATTATAATTATTAATTTCATTATTTTTTAATTACTACTAAAAAAGTAAGGAGATCTCTTGGCGAATTTGATTTTTGGCATTTCACCGCCAAGACCTCCAGGGCTTTGGTTTTTCGGAATTTGGGGAGATAAAAAGATTTGGAGTTTATTTTCAAAGTTAGAAATGCCTTTTGAGTTCATTTTTGGGACAAAAAATGCGTTTTGAGTTCATTTTTGGGACAAAAAATGCGTTTTGAGTTCATTTCTGAGGCAAGAATTGCTATTTGAGGTCCTTTTGGGTCTAAAAGGGGCGCGTGGGAGCTCAAAATGTCCCTTTTTGTGCGTCTTGGAACTTTTTTTGGAACTTTTCAAAACTCCTCGCCAACGCCAGCGGCCGCAACAGCGACAGCGCCAGCCCCCCCGCCACGCCCACATTCAGCGACTCCACAAAAGGGGCCATTGGCAGCGCAAATCTGAAAAGTTCAAAACCAATTTAAAAAAAACAAATGCAACTCCACTTTGTTGTCTTTTCGTTTGTTTTCATTTATTGTCCTTTCGTCTGGTGTGCGTTCTCTTATTGCCTTTCTTTCGTTGCCCTTTTATTCGTTATCTTTCTTTCATTATTCTTTCCTTTGTTGGCCTTTTATTTGTTATCCTTTCTTTCATTTCCTTTTATTTGTTATTCTTTCTTTTATTGTTCTTTCTCTCATTATCCTTTCATTATATTTCATTTATTATTATCCTTTTATTATATTTCATTTATTATTATCCTTTCATTACATTTCAAAAAAAATCAAAAAAAGAGAACTTATGTGACCGCCACTGCGGCCCTGTGCCCCAAAAGAGGGAATTGCGCAATTCCATTTAATTTAATTTATTCTAATTAATTTAATTTAACTTAATTTAATTGATTTAATTTAACTTCTTTTAATTTAGTTTGATTTAATTCAATTTAATTTAATTAGTTTAATTAACTTAATTTGATTTAATTCAATTTAATTTAATTAATTTAACTAATTTGATTAATTTAATTTAATTTGATTTAATTAATTTAATTTAATTTAATTGGAAAATAAAACGAACTTGAGGGAATTATCTTTCAGCAAAGAAGAAGGCCCTTTTGACTCGCCGCCCAAAACGCAGCAAATGCCTTCGCAGGCCTCCCCTGATATTCTTTCTGAAAATAAAATAAATAAATAAATAAATAAATAAATAAGAATAAGTAAATAAATAATTAATAATAAATAAGTAATAAATAGTGATGAGCAGATAAAGCACAAAAACAAACAAACAAACTCATGGGAAAGTCAATCAACAGCAGCAGCAGCAACAGCAGCAGCAGCAACAGCAGCAGCAGCAACAGCAGCAGCAGCAACAGCAGCAGCAGCAACAGCAGCGGCAGCAGCCCAAAAAAGCAGCAACCATCAAAAGAAAGAAAAAAGAGAAAAGAAAAAAGAAAAGACCTTTTAATTCTTCCAAGGGGGGCCCCTGGAGATCAGCAGCAATTAAAATTAATTTCTTTTTTTTGCAAAACTCCAAAAGAGCTTCTGGGGGCCCCTGGGCAAACGGCAGCAGCAAATGGAGGCCTTTGCTGCGGCTCTGAATTAAAAAAAAAAGAAAAAGAGAAAAAGAGAAAAAGAAGAATTAAATTAAATTAAATAATATAATATTATATTATACTATGTTATATTATATTATATTTATATTATATTATATTAATTTTAATTCTTTCCTTTATTTTGCTGCTTCCATTTTCTTATAATGAATTAAAATGAATTAAAACAATGAGTATAAACGAATTTGATTAAAGTAAATGAAGTGGATGAATTAAATGAATTGAATGAGTTAAATGAACAAGAATTAAATGAATAAATTAAATGAATTAAATGAACTACATGAATTAAATGAATTGAATGAATTAAATGAATTAAATGAATTAAATGAATTAAATGAATTAGATGAATAAATTAAATGAACTAAATTAATTAAAAGAACTAAATGAATTAAATGAATTGAAAGAATTAAAAGAATTAAAAGAACTAAATGCCTTAAAAGAACCAAAAGAGTTAAATGAACTAAACGAATTAAACGAATTAAACGAATTAAATGGACTAAAAGAATTAAATCTCACAATAACTTTCCAATTGAAAGGATCAACTCCTCCGGAAACAAAAAACAAAAAATCGATTTCTAAAAAAAACGCCAAATGCAACAAAAGCCCCAAATTCGAAGCGTAGCGAATGCCGTCTGCTGCCAACACAAATCTGAAAATAAAAACAAAAAGTAAATAAACAAGTAAATAAATAAGTAGATAAATAAGTAAATAAATAAATAAAAAAAAAATAAATGGTTAATTGGATGATTAGTTGGCGATAAATTGATCAATCGATGGCCAAATAACCAACTACTCGATAACTACTTGTTAGGCTAACAAAGGCATCAATAGGAATAAAACAAATAAACAAATAAACAAATGAACGAACAAACAAATAAATAAATAAATAAATGAATGAATGAATAAATAAATAGTGAAACTTCAACTAAATAATAGATTAAATAACATGAAAAATAAATATTGAAAAGAAAAGAAGAAAAGAAGCACCTGGGGTTCACAGAGTCGTCTGCGGGTTTTGGGATTTCGAAGATGGCGGCGGCATCGGAAAAGGAATTTGGAGAGCTTTTTGGGGACTTTTGATGAAACTTGGCGGAATTAAATGGCAATTTATGAATTATTTTGTTTTCATTTGTTGTTTTGGAAGAAAAAGGATCTGATTTCCTCTCGCAAAGGACTTTCATGATTTCGTCGGTTGCGCGAAGTCGCGCGCCAGCAGCTGTACGTACACCTGAAAGCCCGCGACGCGCGCTTTCCGCATTTTCACTTTTTTCATTTTCAATTAAAACCAAAGGCACCAACGGCTTCCTTTTTGCCTCCCCGAGCTCTTCAAACAATTCTTTTTCTTCTTTTTCTCCTTTTTTCATCTCCTTTTCTCCTTTTCTTATTTCCTTCTCTCCCTTTTTTCCGCCACTTTCCCCTCCAGGCCCCCCAAAGACCTCCATTATCGTCTCAGCCCCCAAAACCGCCATTTGGCCGCAGGAGGCTCTGAGAGACAAAAAGAAATAAATTATTTAAATACTTTTAATCAAAGAATTAATAAATTAAACGCTAAATTATACAATAAGTTAAAGAATAAATGATTAATTAGAATAGTTTTACCGGAGGAAGAAATAAACGGAGTGATAAACAGGTAATTAGAAGACTTTATATTAAAGAATAAACACAGGAAAGAATAAATAATTAATATGCTTTTCATGGGAGAATAAATAAAGGAGTAAAAATTAGAAATGGTTTTGTGTAAATAAAATAACAATTGTGGACTTAAATGTAAATACCTATTCGAACAAAATGGCATTATTTATTTGAACAAAATGGCACTATTTATTCAAATAAAATGGCATTTTAAATAAACAAATAAAGATAAATAAGTCTTGAATTGCTTTTTATTTGACCTGTATTTTCTCTTTGTTTTTAATTTGATGAAATGCTTCACCAGCGCGTGGCGTCTGGAGTGTATGGACAGCTGCTGCGCTGCTGCCGTTTCTTTCTTTTCTTTTTCTTCTTTCTTCTCATATAAATCTTCGTGGCTTCCAGGCTGCAAGGCGGCCTCCCTATTTGCTGCTGCTGCTGCTGCTGCAGGTCCTGCTGCAGCAGCAGCAGCTGCTGCTGCTGCTGCTGCCCTCTCATTTGCGTCTTCTCGGCCTTTGGCCGCATCTCTGCTGCAGCCTTCCAGCCAGTGCGGCGCTGCGCGAGTCGCAAACTTCCTCTGCTGCTGCTGCTGTCGCCGCTGGTGCTGCCGCTGCTGCTGCTGCTGCAGCTCGAGTTGGTGAGGTGTACGTACACCTGAGACCGCGGGAAAAGGCGGGAGTTGCTGCAGAACTGCAGCATTTAATTTGGAGAACTTCTTGGCGGCTTGCTGCAGCCAGAGCGCCATGCTGGGGCTGCCATTGAGTCTGGCTGTGGCTGGGGGCCGGTGCAGGGAAAAGAGAAGTCTTTTAGTTTAAATGCGGAAACAAAATGAAAATTAAGCTAAATTTGAATTAAAATTGAACAGAAAAGGAAAAGAAAGAAGACTTCGAGGCGGGAATGTGGGGCAGGGGGCCCCAGGGCTGCGGCCAACTGGCGAGTCTCGGCTGCGGCGGCGGAGATCTGTTTAAAAAAGAAGAAAAGAATTAAAAGAAACAAAAATAAATGAAATACGACAAGAAGTACTTTTGAAATCCCAAAAGAATTGAAGTGATCGGACCAGTTCAACTTGTCCGCCCGCGCGCGCCTTCGGGTGTATGTACACCTCGGCACGAGCCAGAAAGCCCCAGACCGACTTTTCCAGTTCGTCACTTCTTTTTCCACTTTTGCACTTTCGGACTTCGCAAATCTTTTTATTTCTTCTTTTTATTTCCATTTTGTTTCCAATTTCCAAATTCCACGAGTTGACTTCCGGAAGACTGCAGCGGCTGCTGCCTCCCGCCTCGCATTCTCTGCTTCTTTCAAATATCTTCAAATCTTTTTAGTTCTCTTCAAATCTTTTTAAATCTTTTGAATCTTTTAAATCTTTCAAATTCTTTCGAAGTCTTTTAAAGTCTTTTCAAAAAAATGGCAGAGGCAAACAGCTTCGACCCGGTGAAGGCGGAGGAACACCTCAGGTGCGCAGTGGGAAACCCCCAGGGTTTAGGGTTTAGGGTTTAGGGTTTGAGGCAACGGAGTGTGTGGCCTTAAGCGCCTCCGCGACCCCAGCCCCTTCTACCCCCGAGCCCTCTGCAGCCCCCCTAGGGTTTAGGGTTTAGGGTTTAGGGTTTAGGGTTTAGGGTTTGGGGTTTCAGGGAAGTGATAACTGCTGCGACTTGGCGGGACATGAGCCGGAAGAGCGCGCGGGAGAAGCTGGAGGAGAAGTTGGGAGTGGCGGCTGAGGGGCTGAAAGAACACAAAAAAGAAATAAATGAAATAATTGACAAAATAGTTTCGGAGTTGAATGCAGAGGAAGAAGAAGAGGAAGAAGCAGAAGCAGAAGAAGACAGAAAAAGCCAGCAATCCGTGCGCAATTAGTTCAACTATTTGTTTCATTTATTCCACGTATTCCACTTATTCAATTAATTTGTTCCATTTATTCCATTTATTCGGTTAATTTATTCCATTTATCCCATTTATTCAATTAATTGGTCCATTTATTCTATTTATTCTTTTAAATTCAACTTTTACGCAAAAAAAATAAAGTGGAAACTCAAAATTCGAAAATCTGAAATGGGGAAGGCGCGCAGGCGTTGGGGTGTATGTCCAGCTCGCTCAGGTGTATGCTCATGTGTTTCGCCTTTTCTCATTTATGTGAATCAAAAACTTTTATTTTATTTTAAATCAAATGAAACATTTAAATTTAAATAAACTCCTATTATTTTATTTCCTTTCACTTCTTTATTTGTGTTTTATTTCCTTTTTTTCGCGCTTTTCCGCCCATATTATTTCAATTGTTTGCTTTTCGACATTTCATTTATTTCCCTCAATTACCTTTATTTATTATTTACTTATTACTATTTATTATTATTTATTTATTATTACTTATTTATTTTTATTTATTTATTTTTGCTTTTATTCGTTGCATGCAGGAGGCTGAGGGAGAAAGCGACGAAGAGCAGCAGCCGGCAAAAAAACAAAAGACAGGAAATGAACCGCCGAAGAACTTGAAAAAGTTGCAATGTAAATTTTAATCTTTTTTATTTATTTTAACTTGTTTTTTGTTTGTTTTTTATTTGTTTTTCATTTGTTTTTGGGTTGTTTTTAACTTGTTTTTATTTTTATCTTTAGTTAACTTTTCAGCGAAGAAACTGCAATTGAAATAAATCAATCCACTTCTCGTTTAGTATTAATTTACTTCTATTTTTAATCAATTTCAAAATGAAGGATTTTCATTTAAAATAAACCATTCAGATTCTTTTTTGTTTTTAATTTAAAGTTAAACCACTTCAGAGCCAATCTGCAAAAGGGCATTTTTCATTCTCTTTTTTGAATTACAAAAATGTCTTTTCGAAGTTCCATTTTGCAAATAAAAACGTTTAAAGTGATTTCACATTTTAAATATATTATTTATACTTTTATTTACTTTTAGTTTTATATTTACTTTTAAAGTGTTTACTGCAGGCAATGAAATTGAAATTAAACTGTTTTTAATTAAATGAAATTTAATTTCAATTTCGTGAATTGCAAACAATTTAAATTGAAATTAAAACTTCTTTTTAATTGAAGACAAAGCTCATTTGGATTAAAAACAAGAAAGCAGTTTAATTTAAAACAATTAAATTCAATTAAATAAAAACAGTCAAATCCAACTTCCTGAATTAACTCAAACTTCATCTAAATCAAACAAATTAAAACCAACTGAATTAAATGAATCAAATTAAATTAAATTAAATTAAAAGAAATCAATTCAATTGAGTTCATTTAGATCAAACCAATCAAAGCGAATCAATTAAACTAAAATAAACTAAACCCATCAAGTCAAATCAACTAAATCAGTTAAATCAAATCAAATCAAACTAAATCAATTAAATCAAACCAAATCAAACTAAATCAAGTGCACTAACTCAAACAAATCAAATCAAATAACTAAAATGAAATCAAACTAAATCAAATAGGTCAAATCAAATAAATCAAATCAAATCAAATAAATCAAATAGACCTTTTTGTGTTTGCAGCTGCACTGATGTCTCGGCAAAGCTTTTTAGAAAAGGCTCCTGTGATGAATTCCAAAATTGGAAATTTAATTTTCCAAATGAAACCCCGCACCTTCAGCAGCGGCTCTTGCGGATGGTGGGAACTCTTTTTATTTATTTAATTTATTTGTTTATTTTTTATTTATTCATTTATTTATCCAGTCTATTCGTTGGTTTATTTATTTATTATTTATTTGTTTGTCTGTTCGTCTGTTTGTTTACTTGTTTGTTTTGTTTTGGATTTGTGTGGTCTTTTCTTTCACTGCATACTGTTATTGTATTTAGTTTGTTTGTTTTACCAATTCCTTTACCCCATTTATTATTTTCATTTTATTTACGTTTGTCTTCCTTTGCCTTATTTATTATTTTATTTTATTCGTTTTTGTCTTTTGTTCTTTTTTGCTTCTGAAGGTTCCATGGAGGCAAAGTGGCCATTAAAGTCGGAGACCAGGAAATTTGGTGTCAGTTGGGGGTGAACTGCACAGGTGGGGATTTCAAAATTAATTCTTTTAATTCTTTTAATTCTTTGAAACAAATTAATAAGCTACTTATCCATTTATTTATTTGTTTATTTGTTTATTTGTTTATTTGTTTACTTGTTAGCGCTCCATTTGCACCAGTAAAGCGGCAGAAAGAAAATTAAAAAATGAAAATGAAAAGTGAAAAGTGCTTTCGAGCAGCGCAGCAACTCGGGTGTCTAGACACTCCGAAGTGGCCCCTTTGCCTCGTCGCATTAAAAGCCGGTTTCTCTTTTTTGTTCAATCGACTTATTTATTGGTTTATTCTAGTTAACCAATTTATTTTATTCATTCATTTATTTGTTTGTTTGTTTGTTTATTTAAGGGGCTAATGCTTTTCTTTTTTGTTTGCTGTCTCTGCAGTGTTGGGCAGCAAGGAGTGGCGCGACGGGGCGAAGAAGGGGAAGAAGTGAAAAGGGGCTTTTAGGTCTTTTGAGTTTTTGGATTTAATTAAATTTGCGAATTCGTTTATTTGCTGTTTAATTAAAAGCACAAGTTGGTTTATTTGTTATTGTTTGGCCTAGTTTAGGGCTCTTCTTCACTCTGCTGCAGCACTTGTGCTCCATTTACTCTTCAGAATTTGCAAAAGGTCTTTTTGATTTCCTTCTGTTCTTTCGGATTTAAAAGTCCAAAGATTTAAATGAAGTTAAAAAAGACTTTTGCAAATTCGTATTCGCGCCAGCCACAACAAGTCCTTTTGAAAGACCTTGAAGCAGCAAGAAGCGGCTTCAGTGCAAAAGTAGAAATTAATTAAGTGTTTGCAAAATGCAAGTTAAAGTAAATGCAAATTAAAATAAATGCAAATTAAAATAAACGCAAATTGAAATAAATGCAAATTAAATCGAACGTAAAAACGTCTGTGCACTGGGGCAGCTCGCCAGGTGTACGTACACCTGAAGTCTGCACTGAAGAGGTCGCCGCTTCTTTTTGTGCTGCGCTTTTGGAGATGCAATTAAAAGAATTTAATTCGAATTCGAAAGTTAAAGAGAAGTTGAAATTAATTTATTTATTTAAATTAATTTATTTAAATTAATTTATTTAAATTAATTTATTTAAATTAATTTATTTAATTCAAGAGAACAACTGATGCAGCAACGAACTCTGCAGAGCCCTCTGCCCAAACGCAAATTTTTGTCACCAAATTTTCTGTCAAGTTTTTCTTCAAGTTCTTTTTTAGTTTCTTTTCTTTCTTCTGAGGTGTACGTACACCGCAGCAAGAGCACAAACACCTCGCCCTAGTTACTACAGATAGCTGTATTTACATGTAGTTGTATTTATATATATACATGTATACACATATGTATATATATATATATATATATATGTATATATTGATTTGTTTATATATATATATACTATTTATATATATATGTATATATATATAAACGTATATATTTGTTTGTTTAATTCCTCAAATTGCGTTTCAAAAGAAAATAACTTTCTCATTTGAACTCGAAAACGAAAAGATCCCGTGGAGTCTTTCGAAGTAATAACTGGAAGTTGACCAGCCACAAATCACTCCGCCGCGTCGGTGATGCCCTGGGCAGTCCTGAGCAGCAAACAAATAAAAGAAATAAATAAAAGAACAAATAAAAGGAACAAATAAAAGAAACAAATAAAAGAAACACATGAGATAAGTAAAAGAGACAAACGAAAGAAACAAATAGGGGAGACAAACGGAAGAAATAAACAAAAGGAAGAAACAAAAGCAACAAACAAAGGAAATGAACAAGGAAACGAGCAAAGGAAGTAGACGAAAGAAGCGAGTAAAGGGAACGAACAAAAGACACGCGCAGACCAGTGGACCACTGGGCAGTGACCAGTGGACCACTGGACTCACAGCTGAAAGATGCACTCGGACTCGGCCAAGTTGGGGGCGTCGTAAACTTTGCAAATTCGCTGATCGCCTTTTCCCTTGCGGAGGGAGAGGCGGGTGGTGGAGGCGTGGCCGAGGACGTGTCCGCCGACTGTTTGGGGTAAGGGGTGATGAAATGCGGAAATGAAAGGCCATTTGGACTCAATTCTTTGAATTTAAACTGCTAAGTGGATTTATTTTGGTAAATTTGAACTTTGTTCGCGAAGAAAGGACGCGGAAACGCGAACGCGGCGTTCTGTTGAGGTGTCTAGACACACCGGGCTTGGTCGGGTTCGCCACGAAGGTCAGCCCGCCGCCGGGGTCGGACCTGCGGAGAAGGGAAAATGAGGAGAAAAAAGAGAAAAATAAAATAAATGAACTCACATTACTTGATTTGTGAGCACTACTGACACGTTGTACTGTTCAGACACCTTAATCAGCGAGTTCAACATCTTGTTCAACTTCTGCTGCCGGTCCGCCAGCTCGCCGCGGCCGCTGAAGTCCACTCGAAACAAAGCCATGATCGAGTCCACAATTATGATTGCTGAAACTCCACAAATCCACTTTTGTTTTTAAATTACATTTAATTCAAACAAATCTCATGCAAAAATTCAAACTCCATCCGATTCCCCAGCTTCTGCTCCCAGCAGCAGCAGCAGCAGCAGCAGCAGCAGCAGTCTGCTGCTGCAGCAAGGGCTGCTCGCGTGCGCACCGAATTTCTCCTCGCTCATCTGAAAAGGCGGAAATAAATAGAAAAGGCAAAAGAGGAAAGAACTGGTGCATTTAATATAGCAATTTAGGAAATCAACTTTAATTTCAAACGTGCGATGGCGCGAAAAAGCGCAAAAAACAGATTTGAAGGGCCCTTTAATTCCGCTTTTTCGCAGACAGCACGCGGGCCGCGGGGTGTCTGTCCACCGGGGACGCAGCAGCCGCGTATCGGGCTCAAGTACCTTCGCAGCAGCAACAGTAAACAACTGATGCATGTGCTCCGTCGTGTACGCCCGCGCGTACATTATGTTGTCGAGACACCCCGCGCCGTCCAGTCCAAACCGCTCCGCAATTTGGCAAATCTTCTCCGGCCGAAAAGTGGCCTCAGTGTCGATGTAGCAGACCTGCGCAGCTCCAAATAAGTCGTTTTGGAGCTTTCAACCTCGAAAGAACGGCTTGCTGCAGAGCTCCGAACCAGGTGTTCAAAAGGAACGAAACGCGACGAAACGCGAGCAAAAATAGAGGAAAACGGGGCGGAAATGGCGAAGAAAACACCGAAAAAGAGGAAAAAAGACGAAAAATAGATGAAAAAAGATGAAAAAAGATGAAAAAAAGATGAAAAAAAATGAAAAGACGGAAAAAAAGAAAAGAAAAGAAAAGGGGAAAAAGAGAGAATATAAAACAAAACAAGAAAAGAGAGAAAGAAAAGGAAAAGAAAAGAAAAGAAAGGAAAAAAAGAGGACTTGCCTTTCCGCATCCGCCGCCCATCTCCCGGGGCAGCTGCGCAGTGACGCACAAAGTGTGGCAAATTTGGGTTTTTCCGCATCTGTTTTCTCCGAAGATTTCAGTAATTGACATTGTTTCAATTCCGCCTCCCAAGAGAAGGTCCAACTGAGGAGATCCTGGCGAAGTTGCATGCAAAGAAGCAGCAGAAGTGGCGCGAAAGCAGCAGCAAAAAGCAGCGCGGAGGGCCCAATAAGACCCACCTGTTGTTATCTTCAACACTTTGGCCCGACGCGCTATCAACTCGCCCCCACTTATGAACGAGTTGCACAACTCCAGCTTCATTGCAGCTTCCACGATCTTTTCGACTTTGGCCTCGGAGAGGCCTTTCACGAGCGCGAGGTCTTTTTTCTGCGGAAAATGGAGCGAAATGAGTCCAAAAAGGTCTTTTAAAGGGCGCAAACTGCTGCTGCTGCTGCTGCTGCTGCTGCTGCTGCTGCTTTCGCCTTACTGTCGTCTGAATCACCGAAAGGACTGTGCAGTAACCCGAGCCGCGCAGCTTCGCTATGTCTGCTGCGTTGATCCCCACGCTTTGCAACTTGTCCTTAAAAAGAATTAAATCAGTAAAACAAATCCAACTCTTAATCGGCTCACAATGCATATGAAGTGCTCGTCGTTCCCCTCGTTCAAGTCCGAAGCGCACGAAGCCGGAAGCGTCCCGACGTGCTTTCGAGCCGACTTGCTCTCTCCTAGAGTCGCCATTTTTCAACAAATGCAAAATAAAAGAATAAAATCAACCAAATAACAAAGCTGAGCATGCAGTTCCTGCAATCTAGCGAAAGTGAATCCGTCGCTGCACAAGCATTCAACAGGTCAGCTGCACATACACCCCAATGCTGCGCGCGAAGATCCCTTTTGAATTTCGCCAATTTGCCGAATTTTTTGATTTAATTTCTTTTAAATAAATGCTGAAGCTGTTTTAATCTAAAAGGAACTAAACTTGGGACTATAAAAACGAATTCTTCCCGCATGGGCGCTACTGAGTGCCGTTTTGAATATTCAGATTCGCGTCGGCGTGCCTCTTGGAAGCAGAACATTAGCGGCTAAAAAGGGCAAATTAAAGGTAGAAAAGGAACAATTATGTTTTTTTAATTAAGTCCGCAATAAATATTTGCAATTCTGCGTTTAACAAGTCCGTATTCAACAAGACTGGCACAGAGCCAGCGGGGCTTTGTTAGAACATTCAAGTTGCCGCAGCGCCTCGCAGAGCCTCCCTAAGAAACTGTCTTTTCTAATTTGGTGTTAATTCATTTAAAAGATAAAATGAAAATAATTAAATTCAAAATGTGCATGCAAAAGGCCTCTCAGGGGGCCCCGGGGCTCTTGGGGGCATTCAACTTCACGCGAAATCGAAATAATTCGAAGTTTATACAACTCATTTGCTGCTGCAGCAGAAGCAGCAGCAGCAGCAGCAGGCTCAACTTTGCTGCGCCGACTGGAAGCAGCAGCGCATGCAGTTTTGGGGCTGTGGAGGCGGCTGGCAGCAGCTGTTTGTGTCTGAGGAATTAAATTGAAATAAAAGTATTTTTAAAATTCTCTTTTGTTTAAATTAAATATTTATTTGTCCAGTTTGCCCTCAAGGGCCCGCAGAGCTGCTGCTGCTGCTGCTGCTGCTGCAGCGCCTCTGTGTCTTCTTGTGTCTGTCTTGCATTTCTTGCTGCTGCTGCTGAGGCCCTGCAGCCCTGCTGCTTCATTTTTGATTTTCTTTTTATTTTTTATTTATTTAATTCATTTAAGTTATTTAAACACCCCAAGAGGAGCTGCGTAGGGCCTGGGAGCCGCGAGGGAGCGCGCCGCTGCCGCTGCCGCTGCTGCTGCTGCTGTTGCTGCTGCTGCTGCTGCTGCTGCTGCTTGCAGGAAGCAGCAGCGGCAAATAAATGCAATTTCAGGGTCAAATAAATGCGAATTTGTTTCCCAAGGGCCTCCAGCCTTGCGCACAACTTGGGGTTCTTCGAAGACAGATTTATTTCTTCTTCATTTCCCTTTTTAGACAAATTAATTTCTTCTTTATTTCCTTTTCTTTGTTGTCTTTTCTTTCTTTGCATTTCAATGCAGACAGCTGAGGCTTGGAGCTGAAGCTTCTGCTGCAGCAGCTGCTTCGTTTGCTGCCGGGCCATTTTGAATCCCCGCTGCTGTCTTCTTTCTTTCTTTTTTTGTGAATTTATTTCCGAAATTATTTTTTAATTTATTTTTTCTTTTTATTTTCTCCTTTGCTCTCTTTCGGAAACAATGGAAGTCCCAGATCTTTCGCAGATCGACGATGAGGAGGTCTTGACTCTGGTGCTTCTCGACTCGACGCATCCGCAGGTAAATTGAACCGAAGAAGGCGCAAATTAATTGAAAAAGAATTAAAATTAAAAGAAAAGTTTAGTTTAATTTAAAAAGTGAATTTTAATTGCAATTAAAGGCAGTCTTTAACTCAACTCGAGAAAACGAGATTTGCTGCGCATACACCTGAAGAGGGCTTTCAGCCATTTGCCGGAAAGCTGTTTCGCTGCGTCGGCCGATCTCTGGCGCTGTCTTCGATCTCGAATTGGTTTTTATTATTTACTATTTACTAATGTTATTATTTATTATTATTTATTATTATTTATTCATTGTTATTTATCACTTTAAGTTGTTTTTAAAGGCTTTAATTTGAGGGGGTGAAGCCTTGCGTGCTGCTGTTTGCAGATCATTGCAGCTGCGACCGAAATCAAAAACTCCCTCTTGAGCACAGCCAACGAGGCAAGCTGAACGAAAGTTGAATTCTGGATTTGCTTGTTTATAATCATTTCATTTTAATTTATATTTATTTTTAATTTGAAAGTAAACAATTTACTTCAGTTCAACATCTCTTTCTCTTCGTTTCAGCCGCGCTTTCCCTTCTTCTAGCTGCAGCGCTCTGTGTTCCACTATGCGCGTTTTCTTGATAATTTGAATGTGCAAGAAAAGATAATTAGTTCATTTTTTGATTTAAATATTCAAAAGTATTTATTTATTTATTTATCATTCAATTTTGTGGAGAGTGTTCGTTTTTATTTCCTGAAAAACACCCGCTTCGTTGCTGCATGCACTACAGATTTTGAGATCTGTGGAAAAGATCAAAGACCGCCTTGTTGCAATTGCTTCCCCCTCCACCCAGGCGGACTCCACCGCCGCAAACAGCAGCAGCAGCAGCAGCAGCGGCAGCAGCAGCAGCAGCAACAGCAGCAGCAGCAGCAGCAGCAGCGAGGAAAAGGAAGGCGAAGATTTTAAGTGCGGCCGCAAAGATGTGGAGGCGCTGCTGAAGAGGGCCAAGGCGGTGGTCGATTCTTCTTTGAAGTTGACATTTGAACTTGTGTGCAAATCTGCGGAGTTTTTGAGTTTTAATTTGGTTTTTTAGATTTAAAATGTAAAATGAATGTCTTTTTTAATTTTAATTGTTTAACTTGGGGCTTGTCGTCTTGTTCAGGATGAAATGTCGTTCAAAGCGATGAATCCCATCTGGGGAGCCGAGAAGAGCGTCCGCCAGTCGCGGAAATTTCTTGTGCAGCTTCTTGAGGTGGAAAGGCGCATTTGGAATTCAAAAATAAATTAAATAATTAAAATAGAATATTAGTTTTGTTGTTTGACTCTTAAATCCACGAGATCAGCTTAATCACTGAACTGGAACAGCAGTTCCATATATGCGAAAGTGCCTGAAACGTAACTCTCGCCCAACAACCACTGCTTGCTAATTTTTCTTTTTATTTATTTCCTATTTTCAATTTTTGTTTTTGAATTTATATGCGGCAATGGAATGCGGAAAATGGGAAGTGGTGAACAGACAGAAGTGATGCCTTGTGCATGAATGGGCGCCGCCAAAGATCAGGAAAAAAAGCAGAAAGCAGAATGAAATGATGAAAAATGAATAAAAGGAGCCTCATAATTCAAATTAATTGAAAAACAACCATGAAAAGTGGTAGTTATTCAATTATTTATTCCAATTTGACACTTTGTGTGTGTTTTTCTGCACGACAGAAAGTAACGAGTCGAGGGGAATCCGTCATTCTGTTTCTCTCCTCCGTCTTGGACAAACTTCCCTCCCCTCCCTCCCCTCCGCCTTCTCCTCCGCGACTTCTTCCAAAAGAAGAAGATTCGAAAGAAATAAAACAAAGCGAAGGCGGCAGAGGCAGAGGCAGGGGGCTTTTAATGGCCGGCAGGTCCGCTGCTGCTGCTGCATTTGCTGCTGCATTTGCTGCTGCATTTGCTGCAGTAGTTCATTCTGTGTGAACTGAGGCTGTGGCACATTTCATGGGGTGAAGTGCTCCTCCATTTGATCTTGAATTTCATTTGCGTCCTTCTGGAGAAGCAAAATGCCGGTTTTTTCTTTCGAGTTGCTGCAAACTTGAAAAGAAATTATTTCTGAAGAGTCCGTTTAGTGGCAATTTAAAGTCACTTTCTGCTCTGCTGCAGAGGCCGCGGAGTGCCCCTGGCTCGGGGCTCCGGCGTGGGCATTTCGCCTTCGTTTTTAAGTTCTGAAAGCGAGGGTTTGGGCTCTCCGTCGCATTTGCTGTCAAGCAAAGAAGAGGGCGGAGAGGAGGGGCCCCGGGGGCCCCGCAAACACGAGAGGGATTTGAGTCCCGAGGAAACTCAGAGGCGGTGGAAGAAGAAACAACCCTCCAATGTGGACTGGATGCTCAAGTGCAAAACCAAACTTCTCGAACTCAAAGAAAGAACTGCGAAAAAGGCAGTTTCCGACGTTTTCATGACAGAAAGGGTGAAGAACAGCCCTAGACTGCGTTCAAGTTCAGCTTTCCAGGCGATCTGCTTCCTGCTACAGCCGAATAATTCCGCTTTTCAATTTATATACTCTTTCATTGAGCTTCATGCATATCTAAGCATTTAAAGATGTGCTTTTTTGTGTTTTGTTTATTTATTTCCATTTTTAAGGGCAAAGGCTCCACAGAAATGGACAGCTGCAGCAGCGTGAACACACACCCATGTCCATGGGAAGATTGCCACAAATACTCCTACTCACGCACATTTATTGATATATCTGAGGTTAATTCTCCATAAAGATGTTTCGGCGATGGCATTTAGCCTTAAATAAGCGAAAAAGTGCATATTAATGTGCATGTGCGGGTGGGTCAACATGCTTGCTTCATGAAGACGCTTGACTACACATACATGGATTATTCTCGTTTGTGGCTATTGCTGCTTCCGTGACTGTTATTGCAATTAATATTCTCATCATTATTACTTTTGTCTATTTTCGTGTAATGAGGGTGTTGTATTTTGGCGCAAATAAGTGGAAAATGAGAAATGTTGCATCAAGAGCGCAGGTTTGCGTAGACATACTCATATGTGCGAACAGATAATCTACAACTCCCTTGTTTTTGTTTTTTGTTTTTTCTTCTTTTCAGACGCTGCCAGAGACAATATCTTTCATAGATCACAACGCGACCAAACTTGAGGCGGTCGCTGCGAAGAATCCGTCAGCATTTGCTGCAGAAGAGTGCGTCAGAAGAAAGGCGAAGGCGGCAGTTCCGAATTGGGGATTTAGAGGAAATAAAAAAGGATATTTTGCGATCAGGCATTGTTTTTGTTTGTCTTTTTACTTATTTAAATCTATTTAAACGTAATTGAGCCTTTTTTCTCCGAATACTCGTCTTCCTGTGCTCTATTTTGTCCTCGCTAATGTTTTGTGATCAGCCGCTGCTGCTGCTCTTCTCTTTTGTCGGCTTAATTGTAACTAAGAGTTATTTTGCATTAAATATTCTTTAAACATTTCTAAAAAGCACCTCTTCTGGTGCATTCCGTGTTTGTTTCCGCGCGCAGCCGCCGCGTCTTCATGCAAAGCATCGAGTCCTACATTGCGGGACTAGAGAGAGTGAGTTTAGGATATCTGTGTAGTGATATTTGCGTCAATTGTCTAATATCTACCTGTTTTTCTTTTTTTAAAGCACCAAATATATTGTGAATGTGCACGCGGCAGCTGCCAGACAGAGGCCTAGATGAAGTTGCAGACACATGCCAGACGAGGTGTGTTTCCTTACAAGTGTTTGTTTTGTTTTCTGTTTATCTTTTTTGTTTTTTTTAGGCGTTGATGCTGCTCGCTAAAGAGACGCTGAACAAAAGACAACTAATGAGCCTCTTTGACAGCGCGCTGAAGGTCGAGCGGCTCACCACGCCTTCTGAACTCTTGACGGAAATGTAAGAGCAAACACCAAACAGCAGTTCATTTATTCATTTATTATCTTTATTCCATGAAGTTTTATAAATAAATTTGTGCTTTAAATAGCTCTGCCTTTAATTCATTGAATGCGCAATACTTGCACCTTTTTGCACTGGCAATAGTTGTACAAGTTCGCATGCTCACATGCATCTCATCTTGCATTCTAAATTTACGGATAGCTTGGGTAAAATTCGGCAAGATTCTATAAGATTCGATAAAATTGAATAAAAGATTAAATAAGGAGCTAGTAACAGGCACTTTTTCTCCGTCTCAGGCGCAGCATCATATCGCTTTTGAACACCTTCGCCTACATGCCGAAAATGGACGACGACGACTGAGATGGAGTTCAGAAGGTGTTGAACTTCTCCGCCGAATTTGTTCTCGAAAAAAACGAAAGAGGCTTCTTAAATGGGGAAAGAGGAGCCGCTAGACCCCCAGGTGTTGCTTGTCGATGCACCATCGCATCGAAAGTGTTAGTGCTGTGGCCGTTGGCAGCGCGCGTTAGGAGTTTCGGAAGTTTCCTGGCAATGCATGCATGTGGGAAAGGTATTTTATGAAGTATAATGCGTTTACGCAAGTCTTTTGATGGGAAATGCGTGAGCAGCAGCCAACTTGCATCTAATACTGTTAGTCGCAAAGGGAAAGAGCGCTGCTGGGGAATCCAAAGACAAAAGTTTCGAAGCTGTGGCAGCTCGTTGTCTTCAGTTGACTCAAAGGGTCCAGTGAACTAGAATTCGCTCCTAATTAAAGCAAAACAGATTAAAAAGACAATCAAATGGACTAATTCAAGTACAGACAAGCAGCTAAAACTAATTCAAGTTCAGCACCGCAGAACGAAACAAGCTACGGGGAAATTGAGGAGAGTTGAGTCCGTCTCCCGCCATTGCGGTTCGCCACCAGTTTTACTGCGTTTGCAGAAAGAAAGGCCAATTTCATTTAACATTAAGTAGAACTTTTCAACTTTATGTCCACCACTGACACCAGTGGTCACCACTGGACACCAGCGGCACCCGCGCCTCGCCAGATCCACTGCGAAGTGCCCCTGCATGCAAGTTTCTCGTCTACTTGACGTTAAATGCATTTTAAAATACAAAAGATGCAAAAAGAGCTAAGTGCCGTATCGCTTTCGGTTGAAAGGCGGCAGCGAGGGCTCCCCCTGGCCCCCCGGGTGCACCAGCTCCAGCAAGACCAGTGCGTGGTCCACTGGTCCACTTGGTCCGGCGTTTTCACTCCCGAGTTGCGTCCCCGCGTCGCACTTCTCAAACGCAAAGCCCACGAAGCTTCTGCCCTCGCTGCGGCGCAGCGCCCGCGCCGCCTGCACGCAGCAGCTCGCGCCGCGGGTCTTGCTGCTGCTGCCCGCTGCTGCTGCTGCTGCTGCTGCTGTGGTATCTCCGTTGAGGCCCCTCTCGTGGCTCACAGGAGAGTCCGCGGGAGTCGTCGCAGAAGACCGCGTGCTGTCAGTGCCCCCCGGGGAAACACAGGGGGGGCCTTCTGGGCCCCACAGGGCAGAAGCTCCTGCTGCTGCTGCTGCTGCTGCTTCCGTGTTTCCTCTTCCAGATGAAAACATGGACTCCGGCAGCACGCGGGGCACGCAGAAGGAAGCTGCGTAGGCTGGAGCCGACGAGATCGAGATGGCCCCGACTGGCCTGCTCTTCTTCAGTTGGCGGTGGGGAGGGCGCTGCAGCAGCAACAGCAGCAGCAGCAACAGCAGCAGCAGCAACAGCAGCAGCAGCAGCAGCAGTAAACGACAGGAAACAGCGCCATTCGTTCAACTTGAACGAAGAGTGACCTACAGAGAACCAACAGTGCAGCTACTACTTCAATCTGTACTGCAGCGATTCAGAAAAGCTTGCTTTCACTAACAGTGGATCTCAGTGGTTTCGAAAGTTCAACTATGACGATTATAATTGCCAAAAGCTTTCTTAACATTATAATTTAAATTCAGAAACGTGGGAAAAGAAGAAAAGACTGGATGATCTCACCACTGGCTTTTCCTGCGGATCTTTATCCCCCTCGGAGTCGCTGCTGAGATTCAGAAGTCGAATTTCTTTTCTTTTCTTTTTTTGCAATTGCTGTGCAGACTTTGCCTCCGCAAAGTCCGCGGCGTCCCACAAACACAACTTGTACAAAGTTGAAGGAGTCAAACACAACACGGAAGATGAATTCCCCTCGCCTTCCACCCACTTGCAGTCCACAATGCAGCCATCTTCCCGCGAAAACTGACGCGCGGGGATCTGCAAATCAAAATATCAAAACAATTTCATCTTATTTAACTTTAAGATGAACTAGTTAGGGATAAGCAGCACAAAAACTCAACCCCATTTGCTCAGTGCACGGGCGAGTGGGCATTTGCTGCACCACGAACACTGGCTCTGCTGGTCCACTGCAGGTTCTACTAAGTTGTCCACTGGTCTGTTACTGGTCACGCAATTATAAAAACTCATTTCAAGTGAAGTTGTCACTACAGAAACTGAAAGAGTCATCAAGAAAAGCCTCAGCAGCGCCACTACGAGTCGACAAACGGGAGGGTCACTTGTTTGTGTTGTGCATTATTTTCTTTTTCTCTATTTAAACTCTTTTTAATTGAGTCTTTTTGTTTATTTTTAACAGTTCTTATTCTTTTATTTTGCTGCTCAAGGCATCTGGTGGGGGGCCTCTTACTGATCGAACGTCGCGCCGCCGTCTGTGCATTTTCGCGTTACTTTTATCGGAATTTTCGGATTCTTTTGAAGCTTTGTTGTTTCCTTCACCACTTTCTTGCTGCGAAGCACCTTCTTGGTCTATTTCTATTGTGAAATAGCCGTTGCGAGTGCCCAAGACAAACAGCTGCGAGGAGTCCGGGGAGAAGCAGAAGCTGGCGACGTGTTCTCCCCATCTAAATATGTTCGGCAGGAAATAAATCAAGTCCAATGTGCCCACATCAAACAGCAAAATCGAACTGTTGCTGTTCAGACACCCCAGACGCCGGCCGTCGGGGCTCAGCATCATGTGCACAATTGCTGCAAACAAAACCATCAGAAAGCTCATTCCTGGAGGCAAGAGGCCCAGCTACAATATATTTTAGTTGAATTGCAACTAAATTGCAAACTTTAGTGAAAATAAATATGTGAAATGCGTAAAAAATGCTCATCAAATGCATGGGTAGAGACACAAGTGTATATATATATTATATATATATAATATATATACATAATATATTTATATATTTATAATATATACATGTAACATATATATATACATATTATATATGTATATGTGTATAAATATATGTGTATATATGTAATATATATACACATATATGTACATACGCTTCATATGGACATACATTGGCACGAATTGATCTTTATGAGATTACATGCAAGAGAAGAGAGATGCATTGGCTTGTTTTAGACTTCTACTCACGCACTTGCGCACATATACACTTGCAAAGTTGCATTTTTGAGAAAATGAAAATTTTCATTTTTAAATCTGAGTTGCAAAGCTTACGGAATGGCAAGTCCCGCACAGATGCAAGTTCCTGTCCAGTTGCGACTTTGAGAAAAGAAAGACAGAAAGTGCCTTCCATCTCCCCCTCGCAGTCCCGAAGGGCCTCTGCCTCTCTAAGAGAAGCAATTTCTTTATGAATCCACTTCTTTGCGCCAGAGTCTTCAGCTTTCCCCCTGCCCTTCTGCTTCTTCTCTTCCCTACTTGGCACAGACGCAGAGTCCTCCTCAGGGGCCCCCCTGGGGGCCCCCGCAGGGGCCCCCGCGGCGCAACGCAGGCGCCGGTAGTTCGAAGTCTTTCGGTTTTTCTTAGAAAAAAAACAACACGCGAGAACTCCGCGAGCCACAAACTGAAGAGCTGTCACCATCTCAACAATGTGGCAGTTGCCCAAGCATTCCAAGTCCCTTATTTCTAACTGAGACACAAACAAGGAAACAATAAATATAAATATTGAACCAGCGGAAAGCAAAACGGAAGCAAAAATGAAAATGCAGCAAAGAGGCACAAGTGCACAGAGGCCGCAAGCAACGAGAAACAACTGGAAAACAGGAGAAAAGAAGAACAAGAATGCACAGTTGGCTGCAGCAGCAGACTTTGCAGAATTAATTTAATATTTCCTTTTGAATTTCCGTTTCAAATGCCACTTATGCGCAACTAAATAAACAGAAAACGCATGCAAGGCGCGCAGCCGCGGCTCACCTCCTTGAGGTGGAAACCAAACAAGTGGAGCCCCTCGTTGCTGCCGACAGCCAAGAGCTGGCCGTCTTTGGCTAAGTCGCAGCAGTTCACTTTTGTTTCATTATGAAGAGTAACTTTTGCAAGTTTCACTAAAGGGGGCTGGCGAGGGTCCTGTTCTTGCAAGTTCCCGCTGCAGACTGCGCTGTCTTGGATGTGCCTGCAGCCACAGTGGCGGCCGCGGCGCAGCAGCAGCAAATAAAACCCGAAACTCTGCAATAAAAAGCAACTTAAGACCAAATAATAATTGTAATAGGCAAATTAAGACCAAATAAACTTGCTTTTGTATTCTAAATGCGCCACTTGCACGCCAAAGCCGCTGTTTCCACTGGAAACCGAAGAATTCAGGGTTTAGGGTTTAGGGTTTAGGGTTTAGGTTCGGCAAATAGGGGGCAAGGCAGACACAAGTGCCGGCAAAAAGGCACAAGAAAGACAATAAGATAAAAATAAAAAATAGATAAAGACTAAAAGATTGAAAGATTAAACTGCAAGGGCAGCCCCACCAAATGCCCACTTCCGTGGCAGATGGACAAACCAAAAGCCTTTTCTTCCAAATCACTTTTGGCCGCTGGAGGCCCCGAAGTGAAGGCGACACGCAGAAGGGCAAGCAGGGGGCCTTGAGGCCCTGAGGAAAAGAACAAAAATAATAAATTAATTGATTATAATAAATTAAAATTAAAATAAATACACTTAAATAAGAAGATGATATCCTCATGAAATGTGAATCCCCATTCAGCCCACCAAAGCAGCAGCAGCAGCAGCAGCAGCAGCAATTAGAATTAAAGACATTCATAGGCTTTAAACTCTCCGAACTGAACCCAAAACTCTGACAAAAGAAACAGAAAATGCAAAAACGTTGAAGGCAGAAAATTCAGAACTTTGACGGAATTCAAAAAAGAACAAAATGACTTTATAAGTCTTAGTCCCCGCATGCATTTAAAACAAAACCAAGGACTTAAAAGCCCGCATGCATTCAAAACAAAGCCAAGGTATTGAAAGCCCGCATGCATTCAAAACAAAGGATTAAAAAGTCCGCATGCATTCAAAACAAAACAAAGGACTTAAAGCCCGCATGCATTCAAAACAAAGGACTTGAAACCGCGCATGCAATTAAAAGAGAAGTGCATGAAAAAGGCGTACTGCGAGCTCCGTGATGTTTCGCATGCATTTGATGCTGCCATCTGCTGCGCCTGTGACAACTAAAGAGCCGGGGGGGCCCCCCTGGGGGCCCCCCGGGGGGCCCCCCGGGACTTTGGGGAGAAAGGCCAGGGCCTGGCTGTCGCACAAATGTGGGTACCGGCAGGCGCGCACGGCCCAGCGGTCTTGCTGCAGGCAGCAGCAGCAGCAGCAAAGCGCGAACTTGCTGCTGCTGCTGCTGCTGCTGCAGCGCCGCAAAAGCAGCCACCTCCCCCGCAGCAGCAGCAGCAGCAGCAGCAGCAGCAGACTACAAGTGCCTTCTGCCGGCGGGAAGCCCGCGGCTGCTGCTCTTAGCTCTATTATGGCAAGTGTTTTGAGACCAATTTCTCCCTGTCTGCCCCTGCCGGGCCTTCTGACTCTGCGATTGTTTCGAAAATGAATAAATGCAATTAAAACTACTTCTACTTCTAAAATAGGCCAACAGAAGCGGAAGCTGTCCGCAGGCTGACCTCTGTTCTGCTGATGGCGGAGAGCTTGCCGTCGACCCCCACCGACAAAACAACTTCTTCATTTGTGGGGAGCGGCGGGGCGTCTTGGCCGCGGGAGCCCGCGAGCCAGCTGTCCGTACACTCCACCAGCTGTATGTCCAGCACATCCGCCACGTGCACATGCAAAGTCTGCAGCGCCACCCCCGCGGGCAAAGCCCAGACAGTAATGCGGCCGCGGCTGTCTGCGCTGAGCAGCAAAGCCCTGCGCCGCAGCGCCTGCAGCCGCCACACCAGCGTGCTGCTGCCTGCGCGCAGCAGCAGCAGCCGCTCGCCCCTTCTAAAGCTGTCCAAAACTTTAATTAATTCATTTTAGTGAAAAAATTAACCAAAAACGACAATCGAACGAGAAAACAGAGCGGATTCCGCAGATCCTTCACAACGCGCAGCTGTCTGTACACCCGAAAGCTGGCGCGCTGGCGCCGGAGCGCCGACACCCGATCTGCGTCTGAATTGGCTTTGTTTCAGTCAATTCTTTTCTCAATTGGCATTATTTCAATTAATTCTTTTAAAAAGTAAAAGGAAATGAAAATAAAACATCAAATTGGACTAACTTTCCGGCTTGTCGCCGCCCTGGGGCCGGCAGTCCAGGGCCATTTGGCCGTCCGCCACGAACGGGCTCTGCTGGCCCGAACGCGAAAAACGCAAAATCGAAGAATTCGAATTTCCGGCGAAGACGAGATCGCTGGAGTACCAGCAGACTGACAGCAGCCGGCCTGCAGCGCAGCAGCGCAGCACAACAGAGTCCCGCGAGCGAGGCTGAGCTGCATGCGCCCTCCCGTCCTTTCTGCTGCTGCTGCTGCTGCCCCTGGTTATGCTGCTGCTTGTTATGCTGCTGCTGGTCATGCTGCTGCTGGTCATGCTGCTGCTGGTGCTGGTTCTGCTGCTGCTGCTGCTGCTGGTGCTGCTGCTGCTGCTGGTGCTGTGCGGACATTTGGTCTTAGGGAGAGTGTGTGTTATTTGGATTTGAGTTGAAGTTTCTTCGCCCTGCAGATTCTGCGAGTAAAGATCGCCGCCATTTGTGCTGCAGGCCTTTTCTGCTGCGCCCTGCAGCAGCAGCAGCCGCACTCGGCCGTCGTCGCATGCAGCAGCAAAAGCTGGCAGCCCCACTTCTGGGGGGCAGAGGCAAAGAGAGAAGACAGCGCCTCCATTTGAAGGGCTTTCTGCCTGCAAAGAAAAACAGACAAACAAGAAATAGTCTTTTGTCCTTTAAGAGATGAAGTGGGGTTTAAACGGAGGGGCTCGGCCTTTGCTGCAGCACAGGAGAGCTGCTGCTGCGGCGGAACTGAGCCATCAGCTGCGAAACTGCCCCTGGTGCTCCTGCTGCTGCTGCTGCTGCTGCTGCTGCTGCGGAGAGCTGCGCACGCATGCGCGCCCACCTGCACGCGAGTTGTGCGCAAGTTCCACGCAGTAATGACCCCGTGGAGGCCCGCAGTGACGAGGCGCCACTCGAAAAGAGAAACTTCTGCGAATCTGCTGCGGGCCGCGGAGTCTGCTGCAGCGCCGCCGGCCTCCGACGCAGCCCAAAAGGCCGCCGCCTCCGCAGTCAAAGGCAGCCACAAGATGTTGCGGACGGAGCTGCAGGAGGCGGCGGAGAGTCTCTGCGAAAAACGGGAGAAAACGAGCGGAAGATCGCGGAGAAAGCCCCGAAACTGCTGCATGCATGCATGCATGCATGCGACCGGGGGGTTAGACTGAAACTCTCGCTCACCACTTTCAAATGACGACTCGCAGAACTAAAAACTTCCACTATTCCACTTGATCTGCCCGCGGCTAACCAGCGGCCGTCGGGACTGAACTGGAGAGCCTCCACGCTGGATGGGGGCGGGGTGTCGATACACCTGAATGCGCAGCAGCAGACTGCACACCAGGCCGCTGTAAATGCGCAGTAAAATTGCAAACAATTGCGCCAAAACAATTAATTATCTATTTTAATGCCGACCTGCATGATAATATCGCCGTTTCCATCTTCGCATCCCGTCAGATCCAAGGTGAGCTCGCGGCGGTCCAGAGATGGGCGGACCGTCCGGCGCCCGTCAGGCCTCTGTAGTTACACCCGGTGTCAATACCCCAACTTGCATAAGAAGAAAAATAGTTTGCAAATACCACTGAAGAGGAAATTGCATTGAGTTTCCCACATGCATCGATGGGGACTTTGCATGTGCGGAAGCCTTTGGCTTCTCGGTGGAAACCATGGAAGGCTGTAACCCTTTGCCCGCACTTTCAGCCATGTATTGCAACTTTAAAATGTTTAAGTTTACGTACAACCCAGAAGATCTAGCTGCTGCATGCAGCAGCCACAAATTAAACTGCAGTTGAGGGGTGATGAGGGGCTGCAGCCCCAAAGGCACCCTTCACCAACCAGCAGTCTTCCAAAATGCTCTCTTTCCTGCAACAAAGGTCTATAAAACCATTTTCTGGATTATAGAATCTTTCCTTTAAAAGAACACGACGGCGCTGTCAACTATTTAGTTCTTACGCTCAATTTCTGTGAAATAAATGCCAGCAGCAGTAGTCAAAAACCACCAGAAATGTTACCCTCTAAAACATAGCCCTTCTGTAAGGTTAGAGCCAGCCTATAAAGCTTACATTCTGCGCTGCTTTGTGCCCACTTGCCGCTGTGCCCTGCAGCACAGCTGCAGGGCACAGCTGCAGACTTGAGAGAGCTTGAGGCCAAGACTTCCAGAGCTACTTAGATAACTTCTAGACTGAGTACGTTAAGTTACAGTTACAGAGTTGTTGAAGGAAGAGCAGAAGGAACTGTTCCGCCTACCCATTCAGGTGCTCACTTGGCGTTGTTGAGGTATTCAGCTTTGCCCACTAGAGTTATTCATATTTGTCAGTAAAAGGGGCGCTCAGAGAAGCACAATGGCGCAGCATGAATATAGTTGCCTTGAGAAAAAAGTGTTTACTGCTTTCTTCAAGAGGGCGGCCTTAAAAGGGTTGCATCACCCATAAGGGCCGTTTTCTAAAGCAGCGTAAGGCTGAAAGGGTAGCCCACCACTTAAGGTTGCAGCTGTGCTACTAGAAGGCAATTTTGTACCATTACTGCACCAAAGACAAGTTGTCTGAAGTGTTTGTGTTGGGCTTGGTAGGCATCAATCCTACGCGTATTGGCGTCAACGCAATGCATTTGCATGCAGGAGCTGCTTGTGCATGTACAGATGCCGCTGGGTAAGTCTGCTTGGCTTCCGCTTATGAAAGAAAATTTCGAATGCCGCATCACCATTTACGTGTTGTATAAGTCGAAAGGTCCTGTTTCATCTGGTCTGGAACGCAGTTCGCTCACCTGCCACTTTCGAGTAGGCAGCTTGCCAGTCAAATCAGTGTATAGAAACCGGTGTCTTGCTGCTTATTACGCATTTAAAGCAATTTTAGACATTCTAAGGGCATAGTTTCCTTAGTGTAGCATAGCCTGGAGGGATACAAGCTTCCGATGCCTTGTGCAGAGGCGCGCCACTCAGGGACTCTGGCCACCAAAATGCAACAGCTTCATTACAAAATACCAGAAGTCCACATTAATTGCTTGCAACGTGCAAGAGCTTTTGCTTGGGAATGGCTTATTTCTGTCGAGGACAGGTAACAGTCAGGGTACTGCTGCTGTGGTACTGCGGGCATTAGCAGGGACAAGGAGAGACCGGAATTCTAACAGGAGACCTTGCCAGAGTTCCAAGACAGCTTTGTTTTGTGCGCTGTTGTTGCTCATTCAGTGTCTAACAGTATCTGCATGAGGCACTGTTTGCTGCCACCAAACAAGTAACGGTTCGGGAGGCTGGAGGCATGCACTATTGCTTGATAGATACAGTCAGCCCCTATTCGTACCTGAGCAAACACAATGCTTTGAAATGGCAAGCAAATGCTTGCGGCAACTTTAATTGGGGCTTTAATAAGAATTGAAGGTCAACATCTCTACAGAGCTAATCGTCGTCTTGCTGTTATACTGCCTTGCTACGGCCATTTGGCCAGAAGAGGCTTGCTTTGCGTTCGCATGCCAGCTGTCGCGGAGCACTTTGAACACTGTAAATATATGTCTCTCGCAGCGCATCCAACACGAGAGCTAATGCTCTGCAGTAGCCAGCTGGCCACCGCAATATGATAATGGTTGTGCGGTGGTGGATGCTATGCCTAGCGGATAGCTCCACATTCGGCAAACCAGCGTTGGAATTTTCGGGCACCAGACTATGCAGCAGGCTATGATTTCTTGATTCAAGTCCTCGCAAACGCTGGGGCTATTACCCCGCGCTTAGAGGAGCTCACAGGGGACGGTATCACCATTAGTTCAATGTCGCCTAATCGGTTTTATTAAAGAAATTATTTTTCGCCTCAAAAGACGTACTGCTATAGGGCTTCGAGCGTGCCTATGGTGTAATAGAGCCCAGTGAAAGCTATAAAAGGCAGGCAGTTAGGTGCTCTCGCCCTTCTGTCGGTTTAAGGATCGCACTGCATTATCCTACCAGGGGGAGCTTCAGCGTTAAAGCGCTCTGCTCTTCATGAGGTTGCAGGCTCGGGAGTGGTTACTTACATGTGGTGCCAGGCATGAAACGACGGCTATCAGTAAGTTGCTACATTTGGCCAAACTCAACAAAACCACGCAGCGCTCAGCACTAGCCCGCAGCCTCGGACGCAAAAATGGAGTAATTGGACCGTGCTTAGCCTGCTTATAGCATAGCTGCATTGCGGCAGAAGAGAGCTGTGCTTGATGTGGAGTTCTGTCACTATCAGTAGAGCCCAATAATGCACATCTTCCTGAACCAGTTTTCGCCGGGCCTGCCAGGGTCAACTGCTAGCTTGCTTGTCTACATCCGTGCAGGGTAGAGGTGAGGCAAGCATCTACTGGAGTCGTTCTCCAGCTACAGTTCTCTGCCTCGGGTCTCCTCTTCCACCAGCATCTGCGGCTTCTCGGTGCCCACCATACCGACAGTGTGTAGAGAAGGCTACGAAAAAGAATAGTAACAGTGTCTAGAGAATGCTATGAAAATGCCACTGGCTTTCATTTGCCTCTGAATAGTAGGCGACGCCCAGATACTCCTTACACGGGGTTTTGCCGGCCAGATTGCAACGCATGCTAAACGGACACTTGTGATCCCGGCGACCTTCGTTCTGCCTCTTCAGCAATTTCAGCTTCTGTTCCGAATTGTAATATCTGAGTCTTCCCATATCTTTGTGTGGATATGCCTCGTGGCTTCCGTCGGTCGACTGACACTGTTTCTTTAAGGGCACTAATCAGGGCCGCTCCAGCTCAATCGCGTCTAACTTCATACTCCTCTCCCCAGAACAAAACACTTGTTTTTCTTTCATATTTTCGCCTGTAGGCTTCCTTCGCGGCCGTTTGCATGCTGTGGCGAAATTGGACCCATCATGATCCCAAATATGAGGCACTGTTTACATCCTTCTGGCATTTGCATTTGCTAAGGGAATAGGATGTCTTGCATCACTAACTATTTCTGTGATGGCTGCGGCAAAGTTTTCCGCTGCTCCTGCTCTGCTTCACTTCTTTGGTCCGTGGCCCAACTATCAGTTTGTCCGGCGCTGTGTAAGCTCTTGTCGTTTCTTTTGCGCGTGCTGCTTCAGCAGCAGAATAATCCAAGGGGATGCACCCGGATTAGGTGAGATTGCATCTGTATTAAGTGCCAACACATTTGTTTGGTGCCGGCAAATACCTCAGCCCGATTTGCAGCGCCCTGTAGGTGAAAACGCACCAACTACGCCTTCATATCTTCTACATCACGAATCTCATCATACGTGATGACGAAAAGTTGCATAACATTTTCCAAGCACCTCATTCCCCTTTAAACTTTTGAAGAGGCCTGTAGCGTCCTCTAAAGAGGGCTGTCTTCACCACTAACCCCAGCATCTATGGACATCCTGGGAGACGCGCTTTTTCCTCCCATGATTAAAGACGTCCCATTGCCAATTACACCACAGCGCCACGGAAATTTCCTCTGCAGCTCAGCTCGTAGATTGTATATCTTGCTGGCTACGTATGGACACTTTTGTCCCCAGAAGGCAAAACCACCGAAATGCACATTAAAAACAAATCACGATATTTTTGGGCTCCAGACATTTTGAAAGAAGGAAACTTCTGTCTGTCTCGCTCTGTCCGCTTGTGACTGCAGGCACTATCAGCGACGCCATCAGCCCCAAAGCCTGAATAAGCTGCAAGGTACCCTTAGCACTTGTCTGTTATAGTAGCCGGCTTCCTTTATCTGATTTGATTCTGGTGAAACTTACGCTTTGCTAATTCACATTCTACAGCCGTTCAAGATCCTTCGTGCGCAGCATTATAGTGAGCCGTACTACAACCGTGTCGGAGCCGGCGGCATATTCTTTCAAGCAAAGAATCCTCCTAAAGATCCTTGTCTCATTTTGGATAGAGGCTGCTTCTTTCGAAAGAAGGGAGATACAGAATAATAGAAGCAAAGACAGTAGTTAAAGAAGAGCTGCCAGGACGACCTCCCTGATAGCCCATCTCCCGTCCTGAGCAGCACCCCTTACTCATTCTATCTCTTCCGCATCTCTCTATACAGTCGACACATGAGCAGCCTACCGTCTTTTTGATGCTGCTTCCGGATGCCAGGAAATGCCAGATGCAATGTCTGTTAGTCTCAAAAAGACCTAAGGATAATCTTCTAGCACAAATAACGATTTCAGACGTGAAAATGCCGGCTATTACCTTTGCCGGTGTTCCCTGGCGTTTTCCCACCGGGCTGTAAACCCAGCGGAAAGCCTTCAACGGAGTCAGATATGGCGGTACCCACCAGGGCAACGTTATAGTGAGATCAAGGAGCTCATCTATTCCTTATACCATCAAAGAAACAAGTTGTGTAGTTATAAAAGCAGCATGCTTCTTTCGTCGCGTAGGTTGGGCTGAGGTGGAGACAGAGCGGTTGCCACGGCGACTTGTTCGCGGCAGTCTCGGCCGAACACTGAGGGGACCAGCTCCACTCTTTCGCATTTCGTGCTTCTTG